CCATACCCAGCCGCTGGTGTTGGATGGGGGCGATGCTCGTGAGGTAATGCGCGTGCAACGATTGCCGACGGCCCAGATCAATACGCGGGGGGCGCCGAAGGGTCTTGTAAACCTCGTGCAAGGGTTGACTCAGAGGCAGAGGGACGATGTTGTGAGCATTGGGCTTGGTTCGCTTTTAGGACTACAGATTACGGAGGTCCCGCTCCAGTTGGGGCATTGGTTGGTCGTAAATTTTGACCCGTCTAGAATGAGGATCAATCTGGGGGGTGGTCGCTACATTGCGGTCACCAATGAGGATGTCGCTGTGGTCCTTGGCATGCCGGATGGACCAATACCAATTGTAGAACGAGATAGTCAACTGGTTAGCCCGGAGTTGCGAGCCTGGAGGGATGAGGTAAACCAACGTAGGGGGAGGGTCACGGTTAAAGCATTGTGTGAACGGATGCAACAGTTGGAAGACGGGGCCTGTGGTTCAAATTGCATTTCAGTATTGTGGTGGTGACGACACTGGTTGCAAGCACTCCGAATGGGTATGCAAACCAGAAAATTGTTCACATGTTAAGCAATGTGGACAGAATTAAAGACCTGGACTGGTGTGGGTATTTGATTCAATCGCTGGTTAGCACCCACCGGAGCTGGACTGAGGATTCAAGTCGCAAATTCATTGGCCCACTTCTCTTTTTGTCTGTAAGTGCTATTAGGGGGGGTGGTGCCTGGTTTTGTGGGGTGTTGGGTGTAGTTACTTTACTAATTTGCTGAACATATTGTTGTACCAGCTATTGTATTTGGATAGAGTCGTGGTGGGCATGCGTGAGGTACCAAGGACCGTCCCGTTGGTGGCGGTGTGGACCACCGATTTCATCGAGGCGCGTGAGTGGAGTGAGCTTACTTCGGGGGGCTTTGGCCAGGGTGAGGTGGATGCACCTCTTCGGGCATCTGGTAATAACATGGTATGTGTTGGTGCACAATATTCTTGTATGGTTGGTGCACGCTTTTTCCTTTTAGTCGGGTTTTCTGTGTTTCATTCGTTTTTTTGGTTTGCAGGGTGTTACCACCGAGTTCGCAGTAGCCGCCGGGGAGTTGCGCTCGTGGGTTGCGCGGGTGGTGGGTCTGATTTCTCAGCATCCAAGCACAGCTCGGGAAGACTGCAATTTCCAGATTGTGGTGGAGTCAAACAAACTGCTGGATGGGGTTGTTAACAGTTCAGTCAATGCAACCATGCCTGCATCCTCACCGCCTGCCCCTTCAGGAGGTCGCAATGAAGAAACAATGTGGAATGATGAGGAGTTCATACAGGAGCTCGACCAGGTCATGCTGGAGGCTACTGGGACAGGTGGCATGTCTGATTTACCGACCGGTAGCCGGGGTGCTAACAACGGTGCCCGGACGAATACTGCTGCACCATCTCGGCAGGTAGACTATAGCATATGTGTGTGGTACTAAAATTCCTTTTCCCCCATATCAACAACTGGTTTTATTAAATGTTTATTTGATTCATGGTGTTGAATAATTTGTGATATTTAACATGGAAAGTAATTTTGTTATATTATGTGAGTAGATATGTGCGTTTAGATGTTTTGGAATCCTTGAATATGTGTTAAGGTGTTTTTATGGTGGTTTAAAAGGAATAATTGTACTCAATCTGATTGTTGCCTGATAAAATTCTGATTGGCGCAGCTGGAAAGAAAAAATTATGAAAATTGCTTCCTATACTTATTTTTGGTTGAAATTAATTCTGGAGAACATAGACTTGTTATACTTTATTTTTGTAAAATGTTTTGGTTTAAAATATGATTCGGTGTTTCCAGAAAAATTTAGTGAAGTTAACGCAGTGTGCTGTCAGTAAAATTTCTGTTTGGCGCAGTGTTGGGAAATATTTCGGGAAAAATACTTCTAGGCCTTGGATTTGCTTGAAATTTTTTGTGTGTAGTCTAGACCCTTTGTACTACTTATCTGGAAAATTTCATGTTAAAATGTGATACTGATTTGTCGCAGTAAATTATGTAATCCAGGTCATAAATTCTGAAATTACGTTTGCAGGGCTTAATTCGGGCTAAGCGTGTGGGGGCCCCGGCTACGGCCCGGGGGACTGGTGAACCAGGTCACACAGGGGAGGGACCACTTGTTCAACGGGCCTCGGCTGCCATCTCTGATGTGCCTAGCTTTAGTCTTGGGTTGGCCCAGGATTTTACATCGGCGCCGCAACCTGATAACAAGTCTGACCAGGGGGTTGTTGCTGCACCACCACCTCAGGTACATTCTTTCGTATGATCATGGTATGTCATTTGTTAATAGGGTAGAGTGATGGAAGAAGTGAAGGGATATAATTTGGTCTGGATTTCGTTTGCATACTTTAAACAATAAACAGTGTCAGAAAGAATAGATTGGATAAATAATTTAAGATGACTTTTGGATACATTTAACTTATTTGTAGTGGGTGCAATATGGTTTTATTACATGTGCAACACTACTCAGTAGGGTAAGGATCTCAGTTTGCATTTCACGGATTGATGTGGTACAGGTACCGGTGCGGCCTCAGTGTGTAGGCGACACACTACCCCTACGGAGGGTGGACGGGCAAGGTCAGAAAGGGAAGGCACTGCTTGCTCAACTGGGCCGTTCAGCTGGCATTTTCTTTTGTACCACATCTGGGTACCCACACATACCGCTGCCACACGTGTATGCTGTGTGGGGGTGGGTATTTAGGTCCCACGAGGGCGATCGGTAGGTAGCTGTAGTCGTTATGGGTTACCACTAATCGATTTGTATCATGCTTTGTGGTAATCGAGGGCTGCTGTTCTCGTGTTCTTATCTTTTTGTCCCTACTTTTTTGTCATGTAGGAGCGAGGTGTTATTCCAACATGGAGAACGGACTGTGAGGTGGGCACAGTTTCAAACGTTAAGGGAGCGGACTGTGGTGTCTAAAACCATTGTTGATGCCTGGTGTTGTGTCATGAATGCACGGGAAAAAAGGAAGAATTCGGGTGGCCTGGCCCGTCTGTTTATTCCGACTAGCTTGACGGTATGCAATTCGGCCCACACCTGTGCTAAGTTGAATCCAAGTTAAATAACTGTTAGTGCTTTTTGTAGGTTGGGGTTGTAGTGGGCACATCTGTTAGCGATGAGTCGCGAAAAACTTGGTTCGGGAACCGCATAGACAAGTTCTTGAAGAGTATGGGTCGTGAGGGGTTAGCTGATGTAGATTTGGTGAGGTTTCTTACTCTCTAATATAATTGTCACACCACGTGCTGCCCAGGTTGTATTCATCTGTTGTGCATGACCCAATGCAGTTCATTTTCCCAATTTTTGAGCAAGGCATTTTCTACATGATGGCTATCAGCTTCAACCCTGCCCGCTTTGACATTATCGACAGCTCATCTGTGAAAAAGACGAACAAACAAATGTATGGTGATGCTCCGGATGACTTGGTACGCGTATTTCTTCTCTATTCAGTGTTTACTGGGTTAACTTGGGGTGGTGGGTGCGCAGGGGGGGGGGGGGCTTATGCCATGGGTTTTTGTTCGTCCTGTTCGTCCAGGCTTCTCGTAGTAGGTTGCAATGCTTTCAGGTTTTATAACTTTTGCAATGCAATTCTTGAAAATTTGGTTCCTGTGTTTAATTGGTAGTGTGTGATTGGGTGTAGGTTTCATATGTCAATTAATATATACTAAGCTATCTTAAAACAAAATAAATGGCAGCCTAACATAAAACCAAAAAAAAAAAAAGGCTCTAACACTCAACATATATATCTACTGCTCTCAAAAGATTCAAGATTGATGCCTCATATACTAAATGTGTGTGGTTGCAGATTATGTGTCTTGCTACCTACCTAGACTCCTCCAATTGTCAAGCCGCACGGGCTGCTCGTCTACGGAACATGAAACCGAAGAGAATGCAGATGGCATGGAGGGATACGACTTCTACGATGGATTCTGGGATCTTTACGATGCGGCACATGGAGGCATTCGCTGGGCAGGACTGTGCGAGTTGGGACACTGGATTACAACGTGGGAATGCAATCCAAATAGTAAAACTCCGCAAACGCTACATGCATAATATCATACTCAGTGAGGCCAACCTGCATGCGCATAACATTGCAGCGCGCGTGGGGGAGTTTGAACGGCAGAGACTAGCGCAGCTGCTCCACTAAGCATGGCGGGTAGCAAAATAGCGGACGAACAGATTTTTGGTAGCACTGGGTGGGCAGATGAGTGTGGTTCGTTAGTTTATTTATTATTAGTTGTTAGCTTTCGGTAAATTGGTTTGCACATAAAACAAATAGTTTATTTATTATTAGTTGTTAGCTTTCGGTAAATTGGTTTGCACATAAAACAAATAGTTTATTTATTATTAGTTGTTAGCTTTCGGTAAATTGGTTTGCACATAAAACAAACTGTTGTTTAAAAACATAGGAGCCTAGATGTATGGGAGTCATAAAATATATAGTGGTGTGCAGTTGCTCCTTATAGTCTACGCAGTCCCCCATTTACAATTGCACAGGAATTACCAAATGAAACCAATTGCACATGAATTACCACATAAAACGCAGTCCCGCATTCGTAATTGCACATGAATTACCAAATAAAACCAATAGCACATGAATTACCACATTAAAAATCCAAATACACGTTATAGTTAAGGATTTCCACATTAAAAATCTTTGGTGTCCTCTACTCGTAACACTTTCATACACCATCGAATCTACACACTTATTTTATGGCGGGGCAGAAAAATTTGCACTAACATCACTAATTAGACTTATCCGTTCCAATTCAGTCCCCCATTCGTATCACTTCAGTGTTCCAATACAAAGCTATAGCTATCAATTCAACAGATTACTAATTAAACAGCAAAACCCAAACAACTGTAACAAGAGTGTAGTAATATAATAAAATAAAAAAACCAAATAAATAAAAAGCACATGGGGTCAAAAGTGAAGGAATGCAGTACATGGGGACAAGGGTGAAGGGGAATGGTGCATTCTACAACTTCTTGGCATGTTACTTTGAAGGGCAACTACGGGCGTTATGCCGGTCGTATTTCCCGCAAATTCCGCACTTTCTTCCGGGTTTGGAATTTTTCTCAATGGCCATCTCCCTGTTGCTTTTGATACGCTTCCCAGTACCTTTATTTTTCGCTTGGGTGGGGGCTAAGATTGTTATTCTTTCCGGTGGCTCCACGCCGCATAATGCTTGGATTGCAGCACGGTTACCCTTAACAGGGTTCACAGTTAAACCGTCACTAGCGAATTCTGTGGTAAGATCCTTAAGAACTGAGACCATCCGCGTTTGCCACTCTAGGCTATTGCCTACCATCCCTACGCAGGTGTTTATCTCGGCCCATAGTTGGGTTGCTGCGGGTGTTGGCATGTTCCCATTGGGGGGTACGCCCCTGCATGCACCGCAGTCGAGGTGTTTGCACCAACGGCCCACAATGTATTCGGTGGGTAATTGTTCCATTTGTGCACCCTGAAAAACAACGAGCATGTGCTGACAAACCAGTCCCATTCTTTAGAACAAGTTGCAATTGCATGATGTCACTTGACCACTCGCCTTGTAGTGTACTGTTGAAGTAATGTTGCCCGCACCTCCAATGTCATAATAGGTGCTATCCCCCTCGTGGCATAAACCAACCACAAAAGAATCAAAACAAGCTGCTTCTATTTCTTTCTGCAACTCGTAAAAAATAGTGATTGTGAACACTTGTGCAATATGGCGCTCAAGAGCTAATGGTGTTTTAAACTCTGGTAGGTAACCCTTGCACTCTGCGTTTAATTTATCTTGTCGGTAGCGCTGCGTTCCCAACACGCTCTCAAACTGCATGTAGAACTCTACCAAGCTGGAGTGGGAGCGTGTGAATTTACCATATACACCATTTTCTGCTTCTGAGCGTGATGTGGTTCGCAACAACCCATAGATGGGCAAATCTGAAAAAAAAAAAAAAAAAAAAAAAAAAAAAAAAAAAAAAAACTGGGATCCAACTCTCCCTTTCAGCGAATATTTTGCTAAACCATCGATGGTTTGTTAGCTTGTATTCATCCATTAATAGTTGCTATTGCTCCTCAAACTCAGTACTGCTGATTCCCTCGTTCCACACGATAGCATTTAGCTTCTTCCGAAACTCGGTGTCCTTAGCTAACCCACTACCAAGCTTTTCATTAACTTTAGTCATGATGTGCCACATGCAGTACCGATGGCGAGACCCTGATAGCAATCCGCATAGCTGGGTCTTGGTCCGTTACAACACACAATGGGCTCTTGCCCATTGCACATTTAAAATTTTCCAATAGCCAGCTGTATGAGTCAGTGTCTTCTTTAGTGAGCAATCCGGCCCCAAAAGTGATGCATCGTTTGTGGTTGTCCACACCGGTAAATGGCACAAACACCATACTGTACCTGCACAATTTAAAAAAATATGTCAATTGTTTTCTGTTAGAACTCAATTCCCTATTAATGTCTCTTGGAAGCTTATGGCTCTTAGATAGAAAAAAAAAAATTGTATCCCACTAGACAGTGGCGCGTACATAGTATGTTACCCATAAATAAGACAACACATGCTAACGGTGAACCGAAGTGCACCTTGTTACAGTAATTAGGGGATGTATTTCGATGCACTTGTAATTAACATAAAAGCTCTTATTCCTGTAGTAATATTTCAAAACTGTTTCCTATGTTAGCTAACACTACAAATCAGCCCAGTGTGTAATTAGGAGAGGACGTGTTACAACTATAGCTCACCACTACTAATAAACAGTTAAACATCTGTAATGTTAAGCTGAGATAAAACAATTAAATTAGTATGGTAAAACAAATACATTTACCAAACAGTTAAATTCGTAGAGCCAAACATATACATACACCGTGCATCTTCCTCATCAAGGTTCTTTTATTTCAAACCATGAAATACTAACAACTGGAAAAAAAATTAAAAATCTCCATATATATCTGCTGCCCTCAAAAGATTGAAACCATGCAATGCTATTAATCATACAAACATGTTAACAAGTATTCAAAAACACTTCCCTAAAGCACACTCATACTCATTAAATACGGAGCAAAGAAGCTTAAAGCACGGATTAAATACTGCCAGTTCACATCGTCTAAACATGAATATTAATAGCGAAATTGGTATTCAAATTGCAACCGCATACCTGTTTGTCCCATACGTTGCGTCGAATGAAATATTATCGCCATAGCAGGAAAAAGTGCACCTACCACGGGGGTCAGCCCAGGACAAGCGTGACAGCCGGTTCCCCTCATCCCGATGGTAGTAAAAAAAAAGTCATTACACATTTCTTGTTTGGCTTTGAACGTTGCGATAATCATCTCGTCGTCAGCTACAGCAACATATGTTTGTACGTCTCGTTTAAAATTGTGAAATTCCACGTCTGTAGCGCCCACATTTGCATATGATCCAGTGGTCTCTTTGCAAAATCGCAACCCCGTTGATGCACCGATGTTTGCTTTCACACAGTTACCTAAGAAAGCTTGTTGTGCAACATTCAGTCGTCGGTTTATCCGCATAAACACTTTAGAGGACTCCGTGCACAACTTATGAGTATGTTATTCTTCAAAAACTGTCACAACGAACTCCCGGTGCTTTTTTTTTTCTTAAAACCGATCCTTGCTTTGCAGTTGACTCTATTAGAAAGCCGACGGCGGTGCTCACGGTTATCCCCAGCGTTGACAACCCGGTCATGAGCACGGGGTAGTCTGCCACCGCCTTTGATCCCTTGCCAACTGCACACTAAGTATCGTGAGTAGATTTCCCCGGCTCTGTTGCGCTTCACCGAGCTACAATGGACATCAAAGCCAACGGTTCGAGCGTAGGTCATGTAGCAGTGGATACCTTCGTTTAGTGTTCTGAATACACGCCCCGCTGCCGGAATTAATGGAGCATCCACGGGTGGTGTACGGTGGTGGTCTTCAGTCGGCGATGTCACCATCATTTAACGATTCACGTCTGGAGGGAGGAGGGAGGGGAAACAGCGCCGGGGTTCACCAATGCGGCGAGAACGCGGTGTACATGTGAGTTTGTCGTCGTCAGATATGTTCATCGTCACTCAAAGCCGTGAAACATGCGAATTATAATCGGTGTGTCGCGCTGCTTAAGTCCTGTTCGAATACGTTTGGGAGGGAGATATAGGGGGATTGTATGCCATGTTGCGTATTCTAGGGTATAACATTGTACACTACTTTGGTGCCGTCGGATCTAAAACACCAATGCTTCAGATTGATCCACTAGTCTAGATCAAATGCGGACATCGCTTTTCGTGCAAACAGTGCGGATTACATCATTAGTGTAAGTGTACATAATTTTGTACACAATAACCTTTAATTGGCTAATTTATTTTATTAGTCTTAGGTTGATAAAAAACTCTTGAACCATGTTTTATTATCATAAGAGTTATTTTCGGTGGTGTACATTAAATGAAGAAGAAGCCAGAGGTGTTCAAAGCTTATTATGGAAGTCAAATAAAATGAGTGGCTAGGAAAGAATCAACCATGGAATGAGGCATATCATGTGGTGAGATGATGGAAAGGTTTTGGCTATAAATAGAAAGCTCACCGATTATGGAAACTTGCCAATTTGAGATTTAATATTATTTTGAGAAGTGAATATTATACTGCTAACAAATTGAATTAAATATATTATTCTGCTGAGCTACGGTCTGCGCCTGAGTCAGTCGAAGTCTGCTGAGCTACGGTCTACGCCTGATTCAGTTGAAGTATTGTTCGAAGGTTATCAAGGCATGCACGTCACGGTCCAGGTTGGATGTTAGGAAGGTTGTTTGTAGTATGGTAGTTAAGACTGTGAGAGTCTAATGTACTGTTCTATTGTAAAACTCCTTGGTGAACATCAATAGTGGATTGGGCTGACGTGGGTTGCCCCGCAGACGTAGGAGAAGCGCTCCGAACTGCGTAACAAATCTTTGTGTACTTGATTTACTTACTGCTTTTATTTTTTTGTTATTTACTATCATTAAATAACAAAAATTAATCGATCAAAATCTAATATAAGTTTTAAAATCAAGTAGAAGTTCAGGTTCAGCTAATTTAAGGTTCACGGCATAATTTCAATTGGTATCAGAGCCTGGAGGCTTAAGTTACTAGTCTTTCGATCTGGCTTTTACGTGTGCCTTATTTTTTAGTGTTCTGCGGTTTTTAATATTGTTCTTCTTGCTATTACTTTGTTCAATCTCATTTGTTGCTAAGTGTTTCAGAATGGAAAGGTTCAGGCCCCTTCCCCAGCTTACAGGTGATAACTATGCATACTGGAAGGCTCGAACGAGAACTCATCTTAAAGCTCAAGGAGATCAAGTTTGGCGGGCAGTTCTGACTGGTTGGACTCCACCTACAAAACCTGGTGAAAATGACGGTGATCCACCAGTAATCAAACCTGAAACCGAGCGAACTCAAGCTGAAATTACCACTGCTGGATATAATGATAAGGCTCTTGACACTATCTATTCCTTAATGCATGAAAATCAATTTTCGTTGGTTACAGGTATTGATTGTGCAAAAACTGCTTGGGAAATCCTCGAAACCACATATGAAGGTACGAGTTCAGTCAAACAGTCAAAACTCCAGCTGGTAAAAACTGAGTTTGAAGAACTACGTTTGAATGAGGATGAAGACATTGCAAGTTTTCATGGACGCTTACAAGAATTAGCAAATCGAGCAACTATTCTTGGAAAACCCTTCTCCCAACAGAAACTTGTCAAAAAGGTCTTACGATCCATGCCTTCGAGGTTTAGGATGAAGGTAACTGCCATTCAAGAGCATGACGGCTGGGAGGACAAATCTGTAGCTCAATTAATGGGCAACCTTCGAACCTACGAAATGGAAATCCTTACTGATCACACTAAAAAGCAAAAGATGGTTGCGTTTGTAGCTGAAGAACAGGACGACACTGCACCAAATGATGATTCAGTAGCATTTTTAACTAAACAATTTTCTAATTTTTTGAAACAGGTATCTCAGAAGAATACACAAAACAACAAACATAAAAAGGGGACAAGCACCAACGTGCCAAAAACTGGCACAAAAAGTGGCGTGTCAAATTCAAAAAATACTGATTCACGACCAGCTCGCCCCAAAGAAAAGTCAAACAACAAAGGAATAAGGTGTTATGAATGTGAGGGCTTCGGTCATGTTCAAGCTGAATGTCCAACGTATCTTCGACGAAAGAAGTCCATGACAGTCACAACTTGGAGTGATGATGAACTTGAATCAGAAAATGTTGAATCTGACGCAGAAGAAATGTTTGGCAATTTTGTAGCCTTTGCAGCTAAGAGTACGATATGCTCTGAACCTGTAGATGCATCTGACACAGAAGGTGGTGATTACAACTCGGCAGAAGATCTTGACATACCAGATATATCTTATGAAGTAGAGTTTAATAAACTGTATCCAAAATGGGAAGCATTACTTAAAACATATCGTGTAGTGTCTAGTGAAGTTAGAGTTTTGCAAAATGCTGTAAATGTGTTCAAAGGTCAAGTTGCAGACAGGGATGCCTTAATTAAAGACTACACTGACCGAGAAGAAAAACTGCAACAGGAAATCAAGAGACTGACGCTGGAACTAAACACATATATAAAGAGAATCCAAATGATGGATACCACATCAACTCTTGACGAAATCCTTGATTCAGGGCGGCAATCCTCTGCAAGATTTAGTATTGGATTCACTGGAGAAACCAGCAAAGACAAAACTACATTTGTCTAGGCATCACATTCAGAAATTGCTCCTGAGTCAAGCAAAGCTAAAGACTATCGTGAATCAGTTCCTATTTCAGGCTCAGCAAAACAACCACGAGGTACAATACGTCAAAAGTTTCAATATAAGGTTTATAACCCTGTGTGTCACTATTGCAGGTTACGTGGACACATCAGACCTGAGTGTTATTACTTCTACAAAGAACAAAGGGCCGAAAAACATAGCCATAAGTACATTACTCCATTTATCAAACAAGTATGGGTAAAGAAATCCGATTATATCAGTTTTGTATCCTTTCACACTAAAAATGCAGGTAGGGATGAAAAATGGTACTTCGACAGCGGTTGCTCACGACACATGACTGGAAACGCAAAATTTCTAAGTGACATAAACACAAGCAACGGTGAAGTAACTTTTGGTGATGGAGTCAAAGGACAAGTAACCGGAGTAGGTACTCTAAATGTTGCAGGTCTACCGAAGTTGAAAAAGGTGCTACTGGTAAACGGACTCCATGCCAACCTCATAAGCATTAGCCAACTTTGCGACCAAAACTGGAATGTTAGCTTCACCAAAGACAACTGCAGTGTTATGGATAATGAAAAACAATGTGTTATGGAAGGTAAGCGATCAACAGACAGCTGCTATATTCTAACAAATGATATCCTCTGTTGCAGGTCCAGCATAAATGAGTCTCAGTTGTGGCATAAAAAAATTAGGGCGTCAGCAATCCAGCTAATTAAATTTCTTTTTGCCCGTGTTAATAAAATTTCAGGTACACTAATTCACAAATAAGTATTACTTAGTGTTACTAATATTTTTTTCTCGTGTGCAGATTAAGTCTTAAGGCTAAGCAGTCACAAAAGCTATCTTGAATTCACGTTTTAAAAACCAAGTGTTCAGGTTTTATTTGTTTCTTATCTATCCACCTTCTCTTCATCTTGAATTCCCTAAAAATGATGTTTGTTTTGATATTATTGTGCGTATATCTTTTTGAACATGAATTATCCTTTCTAATTTATATATATACGTGTATCTCTGGATTCATTAAATCATCAGGTACTTTTAATCTTTCAGGTTCTTTCTCTTTACTTGTTCATTTTTTTTAAGTGTTCGTTTAATTTGCTTGGGTTATTCTTTATGTTTTGTTATTGGTTGTTTCTGTGTGTTCACTAAATGTCCTATCTACATTGTGTTGGATGCTTTTGATATGATAATTCTTTGATTGTGCCTTTCTTTGTTGGTGTTTCCTGTGTTAAAATATGTTTGCTTGAATGATAAATTTGGTGCAATTTGATTAATGTGTTTATTTTTCTGTGTTATTTGTTTGGTCCGGTCATGACCGTGTGTGTTTTTTGGTTGTGTGTTTTTCATGCTATTTGTTGTGTTTCTGTGCCTGAATCATCTTCATGTCTTGTTTGACTCAAATTGAAAATTTCTTGAATTCTTGTGCTTCTTTGTTATTTGCTAAGTCATTTTCAAGATTGCATGTACCTTGTTCTGTGTTTCTCTTTTCTATTTTCACTTGTGCAGGTTCATGTGGGAAAAGATTTCGTAAAAAGCAAAAAGGAATTATTATGGAGCTGTTCTCTCTATTTTTTTTCGTCAAGCAAAAGCTATCTGGTATTAGTTATTGGATTCTCTTTATATGGTTTCTCTTATTGGCTTTAGTGGATATTATTGGATATTATTGGATATCGGATTATCTTTTTGGTTGAAAATCTTCGGATTATTAGATTATCCAAGTTACCATATTATTTGGGTTATCATATCCTTTGGATTATCATGTTATTCAGACTCTCGTGTTATTGGTGGTGTGATAGCTTTTTATAAAGAATATCTGAATGGTTTTTCTACTATTGCGAACATGGAATGAATATGACAATACTACCTTCTTGGTATATGGTAATTACTATTGATCAATATGGATGAATGTTGGATAAGCTTCTTGCTATTTTACGGGAAAGAAGGTCGGGTACCCCGTCAACTCACTAGTCTAATCCACTGATTTGATGTTCACCGATCCTTTTTGTCACTTATTTGGCAAAAAGGGGGGAGTAATAGAAAGGAGCTTTTGAAGAAAGGGGGAGTTTTATGAGAAATGGGAGTTTTATTTGGTTAACTTTTTTGGAATATGAAATAAGGGAAGATACAAGAAAGGGGGAGTAGTAGGAAAGCATGATGACTGCGACATATGGAATTTTTTTTGTATGGGTTGTCTACTACTCTATTATGCTATGAAGGGGGAGTAGTAGGAAAGCATGATGACTGCGACATATGGAATTTTTTTTGTATGGGTTGTCTACTACTCTATTATGCTACGCTTCTTTTGGTAATCTCTAACTTATATATCTCTTCAGTTTATGGCTATTATTATCAGTTATTGGTTATTATTATCTAAACATAAAATCTATTGTTATTGGATGATCAGCTTTTATTTAGCTAATCTTTCTATTGGTGATCAACTATTCTATCTGAATATTGAAGTTTTTCGGGGTTCATATGCCGCACACATTCTCTGAAAATTAATACTATGAGTTCATGGAACATGGTCTACAAGAGTTTTTTGGTAATATTTTTTTCTTACCTTAGGTTATTGTATGGCACATATACTAAGGGCTTTTTAATAAAATTATTGTATCTTTCTTGTTTGCCCAAAGTATAAGATGCTATAGTTTTTGCCAAATAAATTGCCAAAGGGGGAGATTGTAAGTGTACATAATTTTGTACACAATAACCTTTAATTGGCTAATTTATTTTATTAGTCTTAGGTTGATCAAAAACTCTTGAACCATGTTTTATTATCATAAGAGTTGTTTTCGGTGGTGTACATTAAATGAAGAAGAAGCCAGAGGTGTTCAAAGCTTATTATGGAAGTCAAATAAAATGAGTGGCTAGGAAAGAATCAACCATGGAATGAGGCATATCATGTGGTGAGCTGATGGAAAGGTTTTGGCTATAAATAGAAAGCTCACCGATTATGGAAACTTGCCAATTTGAGATTTAATATTATTTTGAGAAGTGAATATTATACTGCTAACAAATTGAATTAAATATATTATTCTGCTGAGCTACGGTCTGCGTCTGAGTCAGTCGAAGTCTGCTGAGCTACGGTCTGCGCCTGATTCAGTTGAAGTATTGTTCGAAGGTTATCAAGGCATGCACGTCACGGTCCAGGTTGGATGTTAGGAAGGTTGTTTGTAGTATGGTAGTTAAGACTGTGAGAGTCTAATGTACTGTTCTATTGTAAAACTCCTTGGTGAACAACAATAGTGGATTGGGCTGACGTGGGTTGCCCCGCAGACGTAGGAGAAGCGCTCTGAACTGCGTAACAAATCTTTGTGTACTTGATTTACTTACTGCTTTTATTTTTTTGTTATTTACTATCATTAAATAACAAAAATTAATCGATCAAAATCTAATATAAGTTTTAAAATCAAGTAGAAGTTCAGGTTCAGCTAATTTAAGGTTCACGGCATAATTTCAATTAGGTACGCATAAATGCACCAAAAAGTGTTCGGAGATGCACCATTAAGTGTGATGCATTTTTTCGTGAGTGATGCATTTTGTGGTGCATTTGTGCATTTAATTTTGGTGCATTTTTATGGTTCTTTTATGCATACCTAATGGTGCAATCCGCACGGACCGCACGAAAAACCTATCCATATTTGATCTAGTTAGTGTGTGTGTGTGTGTGTGTGTGTGTGTGTGTGTGTGTGTGTGTGTGTGTGTATCCTAAGGATCATATGATAACACTACCACAGTAGAAAAATAAGAACCAATCTCCGCCTTACAGTTGTAAAAATTTGACGGTTCTAATAAAATTTTATAAAAAAAAAAAAAAAAACGCGGTGACATTTTTATAATTATCATCAACTTCACTATGCAAATTTGAACACATAAATAAGCAATCTTTAAAAACTAAATATGCAAACTTGGTAAATTTTATAAAATATTCGAAAAAGCTAAATTTTAAATCTAAACTGTAAATGCTAGACCTTAAGAAGTAAAAAGTGAACCACCAAACCAAATCAAACCATAAACTCCAAAGTCAAAACCCTAATGCAATGCACTTTCGCTTTTTGCAAGTGCAATCTTTTAATACTAAATAAGCAAAATGTTAATACTAAATGTGCAAATCAGAAAAAGTATGAGAATTGCAGATTTTAGTGTTCATGTTTGCATAGTAAAGTTGGTGATATTTACGAAAATGTCAATGCATTTTTTTTTTAAACTTGATCTGATTCATTCGACCTTTCAAGATGTAAGGCTGATATTGGTT